CAACTTAAGGTCGGATGACACTTGCAGATCTTGTTTGCTTGGAAAGATGACCAAGTCACCCTTCACTGGTACTTGTGAAAGGGGTGAAGGTTTGTTGGATCCCATACACACCAATGTGTGTGGACCCTTCAGAACCGCCACAAGGGATGCTAACCGCTTCTATGTGACTTTTACTGATGATTACAGCAGATATGGCTATGTCTACTTAATCAAGCATAAGTCAGAAACTTTTGAAAAGTTCAAAGAGTTTAAACAAGAAGTGGAGAATCAGTTGGGCAGGGGAAGATAAAAATGGTCCGATCCGATCGAGGTGGTGAGTTTCTTAGTATCGATTTCCTAGACTATCTTAAGGAATGTTGAAATATTTTCACAATTGATGCCTCCTAGGACACCACAACTTAATGGTGTGGCTGAGAGGCGCAATCGAAATAGACTAGGGGATGAAATAGACCCGGTACGGCTTGGGCCGACACATGAGTTGAAATAGACTAGGGGATGAAATAGGCCCGGGGGTGAAATAGACCTGGCACAGCCTTGAGCTGGCAGATATGTATGGTATGCGGTATTTTGGGGAACTCGCTAAGCTTCGTGCTTACGGTTTTCATTTTTGTTTCAGGTACTTCCAGATCGAAGGGGGAGAGCTCGGGATGATAGCATCGCACACACCATATCGCTCTGCATTTTATTCAACTCCGATGTATTTGGATGATTTTGACATACTCTGATTTTATGAAAATGTTTTGGATGTTGGTTTATATTATTATAAAAATTGAAATTTTTAGTCTTAAATTTTGGGACGTTACAATAAGATTCAAGCGAATTAAGATAGATAGATCATACAATCTAAATTAAACTCAACAATAAACAGAAAAGAAGTTGTCATTAACATAAAAAGCTTCTTTAACAAGCAAGCATAATAAATAAGCCACTAGTAAGAATCCAAATCCACTTAATCAACACATAGTATGCAAGATCATATACTCTAAATGAAAGTTAGGGTTTTTATCCCATAACTACTATAAACAAACACATAAAAATAAATTTTACTTTGCTAAATATGATCAAAACAAAGTAATTAAGTTATTAAGAGTAATGTTGCCTTTAGATCTCTTCAAAATCAAGCTCTCAATCAAAATTTGCACCCCAAAGCCTCCAGAGTAAGGATGAGATTTAGAACCGGAAAAACGGACCGGAACCGGAACCGTTAGAACCGGAATATATAGAACCGGTTCTGGTTCTGGGTTTAAAAATTCGCTTTATCTGGGTTCCGGGTAATCAGGGTTTGGGTCCATCGGTTCCGGGTAAACCGGGTCTAAAAACCGGAACCGATGTTAGGAACCAGAACCACTTTTAGGGCCAGAACCGGTTTTTTGTGAAACGTTTAAAAGATGCATATCTCATTCGTTTCAACTCCGATTGACATGCGGTTTTTTTCAACATATAGTTTAGAGTTTGTACATGATTTTAGACTATAAATTTGTCATTTTTAGTTTTATATTCATTGAATTGAAGTCCCCCAAAGTCGAGATATCAAAGCTGAAAGTTTTTAGTTTTTAGTTTTTCAGTTTTTTTGTATTCTGTGAAAGTTTTAAAACACGCATATCTAATTCGTTTCAAGTCGGATTGACATGTGTTTTTTTACAACTTATAGTTTAGAGTTTTTACATGAGTTTAGACTATAATTTTGTCATTTTTGGTTTAATATTCAATGATATATAGTCCTCCGAAGTCGGGATATCAAAACTGAAAATTTTCTACTTTTCAGCTATTTGTTTTTGTGCTTTCTATTCTGTGAAAATGTTAAGACATGCATATCTCATTCATTTAAAGTCAGATTGACATGCGGTTTTTCTAAAGTGTATTTTAGAGTTTATACATGATTTTAGACTATAATTTTTTCAATTTTGGTTTCATATTCAATGAGTTACAGTCCCCTTAAGTCGGGATATCAATATGAAAGTTTTCAAAGTTCAACACACTAAGTAGTAAGTAATTAACAAAAAATTCCGGTTTTTCCGGTTCTAAACCCACTTTATCCGGTTCCAACCGACCCACTTTGATGTTTCCGGGTTTTCCGGTTCTAGACCCACTTTATCCAGTACCGTACCCGGAACCGAACCGGAACCGGTTCCTATATACCGGTCCGGTTTCCGGTTCTACAAAATCTCGTTAATTGGTTCCCGGTTTGGACCCACTTTCATCCCTACTCCAAAGGATATCTCTGGTCTTCAAAAGTCGACAATATCTTCCAGCATAAGTTAGGGTTGAGAGAGGAATCGATTTATTTATAAAACCCGAATTTAGCTTACTACACCGTGGTGAACATGCACTACGTCGTGGTCTTCATTAAAATCGTGTTTCCGCCAAGTCACAAATTCATCGGGAACTTTCCATTCACTGCGACGTGGTACTCCGGTTTCAAGACTTCTTTGACTTCAGTTGACTCGATCCAATTTTCCCGCTTCCAGCTCTGCAATTAGTTTCCTTTTAATCCCGAGCATGCCTTTGCTGCTACAAAACAGATTTTAAATGAATTAAGTACCTTTTGTCCTATATTGAGCATAAATGTAGCAAAAAGTATTAAGATAATGCATGAAATATATAACTAAATATGCACATATCACCCATGCATGAGATTTTTGGTGTTATTTCTATGTTTTTAACCTAGCTTGAGCTCTAGACTTGCATTGGACATGCATGGCTGAACGCATCGATCTTTAGATTGTATTGGACATTAGAAAGCCTTCTGGAAGGAATGGGTGGATGGATTAATGGATTGAGAGCTAATCCATTAAGCTAAGAAAGCCCAGTTTTCACGACGTGGCGACTGCGGCTTTCCCGACTGTTTTGGACAGATTCAGGCACGACGTGGTGGCCTGACCATTACGACATGATGGTAGCTTAGATTGTGACTGGGTTGAATCGTGACCGAGATTTTTATCGAGCCTGAGTTGTTATCTACGATGTAACCATGGATTGATCATGACGTGGAAGCCTGCTGAAGCCAGAGTTGACCGTTGACTTTTTGACCCTGTTGGCTTTTGGTCAAATTGCTAGTTCTAGAGTGTAGACTAAGGCGTGACCTTATGTGATTCGACAAGTGGATGGTAGCACCTTTTAGATAAGGGATTCATCAGGCTGAGCAGTTCATCGTGGGGAACACCGATCGTGTTTGTGAAAAAAGAAGGATGGTTCGCACAAGATGTGTATTGACTACCGGGAACTGAACAAGTTCACAGTTAGGAATCGTTACCCACTTCCAAGGATTGATGATTTATTTGACCAAATTCAGGGTGCATCTTGGTTCTCCAAGATTGATTTGAGATCGGGTTATCATCAGATGAGGGTCAGGGGATGAGGATATACAGAAGACGACATTCACGACTCATTATGGTCATTATGAGTTTGTGGTGATGCCATTCGATCTCACCAATGCACCAGCAGCGTTCATGGATATCATGAACCAGGTGTACAGGCCGATGTTGGACCGGTCTATGATAGTGTTTATTGATGATATCTTGGTCTATTCTAAGACCAAGGAACAACATGAGGAGCACATGCGGGAGGTTTTGGAGACTTTAATGAGGGAGAGGCTTTATGCCAAGTTCTCCAAATATGAGTATTGGTTGCGCGAGGTGCAGTTCTTAGGGCACAATGTCAACTAGAAAGGCATATTGGTCGATCCAGCCAAGATCGAGGTAATGATGCAGTGGGAGGTTCCGATGTCACCATCTGAGATACAGAGTTTCCTTAGGTTAGCAAGTTATTACTGGAGGTTCATTCAGGATTTCTCCAATATTGTTATCCCTTTGTCCAGATTGACGAAGAATAATCTTATTTTCTGGTAGGGGGCTGAGCAACAAACATCATTTGAGACCTTGAGGAAGAGATTATGTAAGGCTCCAATTTTAACCCTTCCCGAGGGTATGGATGACTTTGTGGTTTATTTCGATGCAATAATTTTAGGTATGGGTGCAATACTTACATAGAGGGGTCACGTGATTACTTATGCCTCGAGGCAGCGAAAGCCTCATGAGGCGAATTACCCTACTCATGATCTGGAGCTGGGGGATGGCGTTTTTCACCCTAAAAATTTGGCGACATTATCTATATGGGGTCTGGTGTACCATTTACACATATCACAAGAGCTTGAGATATTTGATGGATCAGTTGAACCTGAATATGAGACGGCATATATGGTTAGACATGGTGAAAGATTATGACTGTGAGATTTTGTATCATCCTGGGAAGGCCAATGTTGTAGGCGATTCCTTGAGTCACAAGGCATCAAGTACACCCATCAAAGATCTATGCTTGAGGTTGGTTATCGTCTCACCACTTTTAGACTTGACCAAGGAGGCACAGGTTGAGGGTTTGGAGAAAGAGAATTGGAAGGAAGAGAAGATCAGGGATCAAATTCTGTTATTGACTTAGTGCGACAAGGTATGGGTTTTGGTTGTTGGAAGGGTTAGGAAGACATTGATAGAGGAAGCACACAAGTCTAAGTTTTCGATTCATCCGGGACCCGAAGATGTATATAGATTTGAGACTAAGCTACTGGTGGCCCTACATGAAGAAGAGGATAACATGGTATGTTGAGCGGCGCCTGACTTGCCGGAAAGTCAAGGCCGAACATCAGAGACCCCACGGCAAGATGTATTCGTTACCCATTCTGTAACGACCCAAAAAATTCTTTCTTTAACGATGTTAGTGTTCCGTTACAAGATTATTAAGCAAAGTAAAGTTAGTTCGATTCTAAGAGTGTAGAATGAAATAAATTTAATAAAAATTGGTGTTATTTAATATCTATATTTAAGAGGAATGTAAGTTAATTAAATTAATTTTGGGTAATTTCTACTCATAAAAGGTGTAATTGGTATGGAGGGGCTAAGTTCTCAATAAAACAAATTTAATTTGCCAAGAATCTGGAGTTAGGGGGAATGGAATACAAAGTTGGGTATGTGAGGGGTTTAGTTGTAAAAATCAAATGTAACAGTCTTATGGAGTTTGATCGATTAGGCTTTCCTTGCGTTTGTTTTCCTTGGCTCCCACGTTCAAAAGAAATCGGCCCAAAGTCTTTGGGGTTGTGTCGCACATCAAAGGCAAAGCAAATAAAAAAAGATAATGAAGGAAGGGGCAAGGCAGCGTACAGGTTGAAGCCCACATGTGATCGTTGTCTTGTGTGGTGCTCGACGTCCGACAACAACAAGGTAGGAGGTAGCAACGACGTGAAGGAGGAACAAGAGAAAAAAGACGATTGAGCAAGGGGGGTTGCGGGAATTAACGACGCAAGGCGATAGAGGGAGGGTTGGACGAGTTTTATGGAGTGCTCGAGTCTGTGAATTCGAATAAACTGGTAAGCTTCTTGATTTCCTTCTTCCTCATGTGATTAAACTCCAAATTTCTGGTGATTCGATTGAGTTATGAGGTTGCACTGCTTTCCCTTTGATTCAATTAACCTTCTTTTTCCTACTTTCAATTCTAGTGTGTATGTCTGATCAATTTCTAGCCATGTTGGGTGTGTTTTGATAAATTGTTGCTATGAAAATCCTTCTTAAAACACTCTTATATGATGGTATTAATGCTTGAGTATTGGTTGGATTGTGAAGTGAATTGCTTCACTTTGGTGTCATAGTCCTTGTTTCTTTTACCTCCAATCATAGTGATTTCGTATGTGTTATTTTTCTGCATAAATACCATGTTTTGGAACCTTTATTAAGCCTCTTAAAACAGCCCCTAAATATTTTATTATGTTGTTGTCTTTCTATCAAACGAGGTCAAGCAACTAGCTTGATTGGTTTCTGCAATTCTTGATTGTATTGCTTTGTATTTTCTGCCCTAAAACCTTATTGTAAGGGCTGAAGTAATAACCTTGAAAGTCTATCAAATCATGTCTAAAAGTTTACCCAAGTTCCATCTCAACATGTGTCTTGATTTGGAATTAAAGAAGTTTTTATTGGTGTATGTAGATTTTTGGTGTTTGGAGTTTGGTGTGTAGGGGCATCCTACTTTCAATCATCTTTTGGTCAAGTCTTTGGCCTTTTCATAAACCACTCAATTGATGTCTTAATACCTTCATTCAAGCTTATGGTGTGTTAAATCGCGTGGCTTTAATCCTTTGTCCAAGGTCATAAATCATATGGTGATTTTTGGCAATTATTGGAAATCTGCACAGCAACTTTGCCCCATTTTGCGAGGCTTGTAGCTGCTAATCTAAGCAGAATTGGCCGATGCCCCTCTCTGGATAAGATGTAGGAAATCGAGTCTAGTTTTCTGAAAGTCCAGATTCAACTCAATTGGAGTTACAGATTCTGTTTTATGCCCAAAACACTGAACAGTGGTCAGGCTGTGAAATTTAATATATATATATATATATATATATATATATATATATATATATATATATATAACCCATTAAGAATTTAAGAGTGTTAATGAAACTTGGCCCCCATTTTGATGATTGTTTGGTATGTTTGGTTATTAGGTGAAACCTTGAAAACTTCAATAAAGTCCAAGGCTTGAAGTAAAAAGGAGAACTCACTTCAAAACAAAAGGTGAGTTGACAATTTTTGTTGACTTTAGTGCATAACCGAAAACCACATCTCATGGGTGGATTGTTGATGCAAATCAGGAATCATGCTACATTTATAAATGCTTGTGATAATTGTTGAAAATATGTTGTTTGCATCTTATGTATGGTTATTCCTTGGTATCGGCTGATATGGTGATATTCATGTCATGTAATAGTTGTAAATTGCATGCGGATATGATGTTTCATGAATTGGTAGTTATATGCTAAAGTATGTGACATCTTGATGAACTTTATTACATGTTAATTGCTCGTTTAAGCTGTAAGAGTAACATGATTATTTTGGTGCATGATTGTTTTGTGGGGTATAATGATGATATGGGTAGAACCTTGCAAGACTAATAGGTTGAAAAAGCTTAAGCCTTATCAGTTGTTAGTTGCACGAACTTTCTAGATGGTCGTGTGACACGTTGTTCGTGTGCACCTTGGTGTACGAGAACTGGAGTGGTGTTGGCTTTATGGTGTGGTCGGATCAAACATCACGTGGGAATCGGGAGGTGTATCGGTAGAATTGACACCTTTTGTACCGATCATGAACGACACCGCGAAGTACTTGTACTTTGCAGGTCGGAGTAGCGAAAGTGGAAGTCTTGGGGTTTGTGAATTCGGGTAGAAGTCATGAGCTACTTAGAGCACTAAACTGGCTGAGCACATGAGTAGTGAACGGGGTTAAGTTGTTGGGTAGGATGTCACTAAGGGACCCCAAAGTGGATAATCGGTTGAATTAAAAATTACGTTATAATAAACGGTGAATTAAATTATATGTAATAATCGGTTGAGTTAAGCCGGAAACTATAAATGGTTGAAATAAATTATGATATAATGTTGTTTGCTTTTTGACTATTCTTGTAAGTCCCTGAACTTGGATCTATCAAAGTATCAATGCAATTGTTTGATTTAATGCAGAATCTTAATTAAACAATGATGCAAAACAATCAATTCAATATATCAAGAACACGTTTCAATAATATGAATGTATACAAATCTATTGAATAATTGTCAAGTACATTCAATCACTCATCAGCCGTGAATCCCTACTATTCACCAAAAACGAATTTGCCTTAAAAGTCTATACACAAACCATATATATACTAAATCGATAACCTAAAGCCCATACATAATACGCCCACCGAAAACACACTAAGCCCACTGAAATCACTAGGTGATTTCTGTCCAAAACCAAGAACCATATAATACATTCAAAACAAAGCATAAACGACTAGATATAGCCCAACAATCTCCCCCTTGGTTTATTGCTTTCTGTTCTCTTCAAGGTTTCTCCACGAGATACACGTCTGCTTGGTCAAAAGCCCCTGCCCACAACTTCTTGTCTATAATTGTAGCTACCATTCTAGTGAAGGCTTTGCGGCAGCTTCAAACAATTCATTCTCAACAATTATTTGAAAGTTTGATAAGGTGTGGATATCTCGTTCACCAAACTTCAACAAATCTTTGGGATCAACAATACGAAACTGGTTTTTCTTCAGCTTGATCACCACAGTTGCAGTAGCTTCATCATAAACCCAGAATTGTATAGTATCCAAAGTGCCTTCAGGTAAGCGTTTGGGAAGAGGAATCCTTTTAGCTTACTTTGTGGGTGGCCACATGACATTCACCATTGTTTTGTTGGTGTGTGGATCAATGACACACTTGGCCTTCTTAGTAGACGATGAAGCAGTCTTTAACTTGTAACGCCCGTGTTTCGAGGCTAAGCATTGATGCGATGATGTAATAGTCTAGCTCAACCATTGTAACCCATTTTAAAGTAATAAAGATGAATTACTTGAATATTATGTGAATTACGTGCTTTTGTGTGCTTATTACTTGTTTATAATAATATAATAAATAAATGATAAAAATAAGCGTCAAAAATAAAATGTTAGATAAACCCGATATCTACGAAGAAAGTTGTAGTGGTCGTGACAAGGATTCTGGACATATAAAGAATGCCGAAATCCGAGTTATAACGAAGAAGTTGTGACCTGTCGAAGTTTCGCGACAGAACCGACACGACACTGCGTAACGTAAATAGTGAATTTACGATAGAGACCTTTTTAGCCTTGGTGATCTACACGAAAGTTGTAGAGTTTGTTAAACCAAGAACATGCATAAAAAGAACGCCCAAATCTGACTTTGTATGAGGAAGTTATGATTTTTCTATGTTTCGGATCGGCAGTGCACCGCCCGAAGTTCGAATATTAGATCGAGCAGCTTTTAGCCGACACAACCTAAACGAGAATCGAAGGTCTCGTTAATAGTAGGTCAATGTTAAAAAGACAGTCGAAAACGGAGTCCGTATGTAGAAGTTATGAATCCTACAAGGTCGTTTAGCAGTGTAATTTCTCATACCGTAAAATTTAAAATCGGTCAATAATTAGACGACAAAGTCTAAACAAAAGTCGTAGAGTACGGTCCCGCCTACGCGTGGATATAAAGAACATCAAAAACGGAGCTCGTATGTGAAAGTTATGAATTTTAGAAGTCGGAGTGGGAAATCTCGAAGCTGGGTGCGAGGGGTACGCCCAGCGTACCTTTGGACGCCCTGCGTACCGAAGTACGCCCCGCATACGAAGTAGGTACGCCCCGCGTATTGAATTTTTTCTCGGTCCACAACAAGCTACGTCGCCCCACCGAGTTCTCGACACGTGTTGTACGATCCGAGCAGTACGCCCCGCGTACAGCTTCGGTACGCCCAACGTACTTCCAAGGCAGCGCCTATAAAAGGAGGCCGAGGGCAGCCTCATTCTTCACTCCTTTCAACCCCTCTTTCTATCGCTACTCTCTCTCTCTCTCTAAACACTCCCCAACCCTCCTAAAGCCTAGGAAAACCCCTAGCCCCCGAAGGAAGCCTCGGAGAGCCCGGAGTCTCCGAGAAAAAGAGTTTTTCGGTTTGAAACTATGCCCGTGCAGAGCCCGGTTTTCAAGCAAACTTCCCGGTTTCATCAAAGAAGATTATTTTAAGAAGCGAAGTGTTTTCCGAATCACTTCTTATCAGGTGAGTGTATAGTCACTTTCATCTTACACATAGATATGAAGTATTTTATATAAATTACATGCTATGTGTGTGTGTATATATATATATATATATATATATATATATATGTTATCTGTTTACCTGAGATGTTTGCTGGATGAGAGATCTATACTTCTTTCTTTCAGATCTGAAACTTTTTCCTTCAGATCTACACTTTCTTATCTCAGATCTGAACTTTTTCTTCAGATCTAGACTGTATATATATTTTATGCTTTGAAAGTTAGGCTGGATGAAAAATTCAAACTTTGTTTTTCAGATCTAGACCTTTTTCTTCAGATCTGAACCGTATATGTATTTTCGTTACAGATCTAAACTATTTCTTCAGATCTGAACTGTATATGTATTTATATCTACAAATATGTTGGGTAAAACATTGGTAGATGAAATAGTTGGTGTGTGATGAAAGATGAGTTAGAGGATGAGATAAAATGTGATATAGATTATGAGATGAGGGTGAGAGGTGAAAAATGAGAGAAACCTTTACCCAAACGATGGCCCCGTCATCTAGCAGAGTACGGATGACAACCATTGACTATTCTAGACAGTCTGTGGAACACTAGCAGGCTCGCTACCTATAGGTGTTGTGAACGATATGTTCACCCGGTGTACTCTAAAAACCCATTGACATGTAATGCACGTGGACTCCGGCAAATAATAGTGTCGATAAATGAGAGCTATGGACTTAGCACCCATTGGATGAACCCTGGCAGCTATGGATTTAGTGTCTGTTGTATAAACATTGGCGACGATGGACTTCGTGCCTATTCCTTAGGAAAACCCTTAGGAATGAGTGATAGGTGATTCTTAGGGTAGATCCCAAGGAATTAAAGAAGATAATGGGGATGAGTAATTGGGTTAATTGTTTGATGATAAAACATAATAACTTTATTATTGTGGGTTGAAAACCCTATGTACTCACCAGGTTTCCCAACCTGACCCACTCAGTTTATTTGTATCACAGGTGTCGATATAAAGCTACACTTCACTGAGGGATTAAAGAGATGTAGATCACTAGTGTAAATGAATGTAAGTTCTGTTTATGCTTATGTTTCTGTATTGACATTGACATCCCAAGGTTTTAAAAAGAATAAAATGCATTTCTTCGGAAATGCTTTGATATTATTTTTATCATGTTTTTCTGGGAACAAAATTCCGCAACACTTTTCTTAAGAAGTTACTTTGATTTTTATTAAAAAACATAAACTAAATCAGTCTTTTCTGGCCGTAAAAATGGGGACGTCACATAAGTCTTCAAAGTTATTTTTCGCTTTACTCTCAAGAAAATTCTTAAAGAACCAGGCCATGGTGTCATTGGTTCGATTGTGGAAAGGTGCGTGGATGAGTTTAGAAATATCAACTTTTGTCAAGGACAAGAAGTCAACTTTCTTCTCATAATATTCAATTCTTCCACTTTTCCGTTCACGATCCACATCTTCTTATCAGCATCATATCCCCACATGGTGATGCTAGAACGATCCCCATATTTATCCGTAAACTTCTTTCCAGTTTCCCTGAAAAACATTTCAGGGTGATCACCTAGAGCATTTTGATCTGAATGCTTTATCACGAGCATTTTCCCTTTCAGCTGCTCAACCCTTATTTGCTTCTCTCTTCTTTCTTGAGCAGTAGCAGGACCAGAAGACAAGAATGTATCAAGATTAGCATCTGGAGCAGGTCTTGTATCTCTTTCATTTGAAGATTGAGAAGCTGGATTAGTTGGACCTGAACTAGAAACAATGATCTTTTCTCCTTCAGCACTCAAAGGTTGAAATTCATCACCAAACTTTTGAAGTAGGCGTTGTTTCAGGTTAAAGAATAGAGCAGTTAGACCACCAAGATTTTCTTGAAGTTCTGAGATCTTTAAAGCTTTGTCGGAGTTCTCTTTCTCAAGCTCACTGATTCTAATGTCATGCTTTCCAATAATCAAATCTTTTTCGGCAGAGCTTTGTTCCAGATCAAAGACTCTGTTCTGAAGCAAAACCATATCAACCAATTCAGATTCAGGCAATTTTCTTTTGCCTTTGGAGATGTCCGACTCAGGTGTTTCAAATGAGCTTCTTGAAGCTTGAGCTCCTTTCGAAGGTATGACTTCTTCTT